CACAAATAGAACAAGTGTCGATACTTTTGGTCCAGAATGTATTTCAGAACCAAGTGCACATAAAAGTGTCGATACATTTAAAACAAGTGTCGATCCCGAAAACATCGAAAAACATAATTATAATGTAATAGGTAAATTATTCATATAAACGATCTAAATATACCGATTTTTGAGAAAACAAGTGTAAAAAAAGTATCGACACAAATCAAACAAGTGTCGATACTTTTGGTCCAAAATGTATTTCAAAACCAAGTGCATTAAAAAGTGTCGATACATTTATAACAAGTGTCGATCCCAAAAACATCGAAAACCATAATTATAATGTAATAGGTAAATTAGAAATATAACCGGTCTAAATATACCGGTTTTTGAGAAAACTGGTGTACAAAAAGTATCGACACAAATAGAACAAGTGTCGATACTTTTGGTCTAGAATGTATTTCAGAACCAAGTGCACATAAAAGTGTCGATACATTTAAAACAAGTGTCGATCCCGAAAACATCGAAAAACATAATTATAATGTAATAGGTAAATTATTCATGTAAACAATCTAAATATACCGGTTTTTGAGAAAACATGTATACAAAAAGTATCGACATAAATCTAACAAGTGTCGATACTTTTTCTCCAGACTATATTTCAAAACCAAGTGCACTAAAAAGTGTCGATACATATATAACAAGTCTCGATCCCAAAAACATCGAAAACTATAATTATAATGTAATAGGTAAATTAGCAATATAATCGGTCTAAATATATCGGTTTTTGAGAAAACATGTGTACAAAAAGTATTGACACAAATAGAACAAGTGTCGATACTTTTGGTCCAGAATGTATTTCAGAACCAAGTGCACATAAAAGTATCGATACATTTAAAACAAGTGTCGATCCTGAAAACATCAAAAAACATAATTATAATGTAATAGGTAAATTATTCATGTAAACGGTCTAAATATACCGGTTTTTGAGAAAACATGTGTACAAAAAGTATTGACACAAATATAACAAGTGTCGATACTTTTTCTCCAGAATTATTTCAAAACCAAGTGCACTAAAAAGTGTCGATACATTTATAAAAAGTGTCGATCCCAAAAACATCGAAAACCATAATTATAATGTAATAGGTAAATTAACAATATAATCGGTCTAAATGTACCGGCTTATGAGAAAACATGTATACATGAAGTATCGACACAAATACATCAAGTTTCGATACATTTTTGTCCAGACTATATTTTAAAAACCAAGTGCACAACAAAGTTTCGATACATTTATAACAATTGTCGATCCCAAAAACATCGAAAAACATAATTATAACCAAATGTCTCTTGCATCATGTGCTGGAGGTTCATAACTATTCCATTACGTCTTCAAAAAAATCAGTTGAAGTAGACTGCGTGCATGTATTCAAACCCAGCTTGACTTGAGGACCTGTTAATTTGTTATGTCCCTCACCGTTGCAGAACCCACATCGCCTAATCTTCTTCTCGACCTTGTTCTTTGTTACTTCTTTTTGCTTGCGTTGTTTCCGTTGAGGGTCGCGAACGTTGTTTAATACACTGCTTCGATTGACTGAATCATTCAAACCCAACGAGTTCTCAAATTTTTCTGTTAGTCTTTTTTTCTCATCTCTTGCGGTTTTGAAAGACGCGTTTGTCTTTGATGCAGCATAGCATAACAAACTTGTTGTTGCACGTAGAGAAGCAAACCTTGCCATTTGCATTATTTCTTGAGGCACATTCAAATAAACAAAACTGGGTGCAGAAGCATTCACATCCTTAGTCCACCTACTTTGAATCAAAGACCCGGGCAAATATGTGTAATCCAAGTGCTTCAAAACGTGAAGTTGATGGCGACATGGAAGTCCAACGGTCTCGATTTTTTTGTATGAGTAATTTAGAGTTTCCGTACGAGAATCAAAACTAATTTCAAATGTCCTATTTTTTTCTTTGTACTTTTTTTAAATAAAAATATTGACATTCATCTGATAAGGACTGAATCTCTTCCTGAATCCGGTACAATGTCTCCCGTTGAAGTTCTTCTTAGAACGCATGAAAAGATTTGCGCGTAAAAATCTCATAAGCATGACTTTCAAATTCAACTAGTTTTGTGATCTGGAAGAGCTTCGTCTGGGAACTTAAGTAATCCACTTTCAACTCATTCAGACGCAAAGAAATGACCGGTTAGATATGCTTGTGCCCATAAATGCCGAGTATTTCCCTTCTCAATCACCCATGGATGCTTTTCAACGTTGAATTCTGAAACAACTGAACGCCATTGAATATCAAATTCGTCGGTTGTCCACCAGGAAGTCATGCATTTTTAGAATGCTGCTGTAAATTTTGGGTCACCAATGTTAGCTTGTGCATTGCGAGAAAGATGCCAAGAATATAATATGTGCTTAGCATTAGGGATAACAGATTTGATAGCCCTCCGCATTGCCTTATCCCCATCGGTGACAACTGAAATAGGCGATTTGTTCATCATGGCTTCTAAAAAATTATGTAGCACCCACTCGAAAGATTGGGACGTCTCGTCAGTGATTATGGCAGTAGCAAACACAATTGTGTTATGATGATGATTGACACCGACAATAGGCATAATTGGTCGACCATACAAATTATCTTTTTACGTTGTGTCGAGCACAATTACATCACCGAAGCATATGTAATCTGATCTCGATGTAGAATCCGACCAAATAAGATTATGCAACACCCCTGATTCGTCTACCGAGTATGTCACAAAAAACTCGAGATCATCATGTTTCTTATAATCAAAGTAAGCAATAAGCGCATTCACATCCCCATCGATGATTTCCTTTGCTTTACCTCTTTGAAGTGCATTGTAGAAGTCTTTATGTGTAAATCCAACATTATGATAGCCCCCTGCATGCTGCGTTAAATAGTTCATTACTTGTGACGTGCCAACACCGACCTCTTTCAATGATGTTGCCTCATCGATATCAGCCTTACTTACAGCTCTATTAGAACGTATAAATGGTGTCATAGTAGGTGTGCACAATGCATGATTATGTTTATGATAAGACTTACTTATAACCCACTGATCGTTTGTATTTGTTGTTGTAACTATGACTCTAGCCTTGCATCTTGTTCTTGTGATTGACGTATGAGCACGTTTGACGATCAACGGTATTGACTTTTGATTCTCGAAACCCTTCTTTTGAACAACAAAATTCTTGTATCTTCACATTCCCTTCCATGTCAAGCCGTGTTGTTCCCCGATGTGCACTAAACCCGTGTTCTTGTGCGAATCCCTTGTAAAAGTACCAAGCTTGATCACGTGAAGAGAAGAGCTTACCAACCAATATGTCAGATTCATCAACATTATGTACTTCATGGCATTCATCGGTTGGCTTAACATTGTCTGCATCAGTATGATCCATGGCAAAAATTTTGTTGTGCATTTTCAGTGGTCCCAACAGGAGTTGATGGAGATGTAAGTAAAGGTTCATTGAACAACATGTTTTCAGTGGTGCTTTCAATGGGATGTGATATTGGTAGTGGTAGTTGGAGGGTGGGTACAACATTAAATTTGCAGGACATATTTAGGTATGTACAATAACTACAACATTCAATAACTTTAAAGTAATAGATAAATTTACAATGTATGTGGTAAAAATATACTTTTTTAATGACAAAATTAGTAAACACAAAGATTTGTTTTGATACATATGTAAGAATATGTGTCGATACATTTTCAAAAAGTATCGACCCCAAAAACATCGAAACAAATAATTATAATGTAATATTTAAATTAACAATGTAACCAGTATACATATACCGGTTAATTATAAAACAGGTCAACATAAAGTATCGACACTTTTTAAGTTTGTGTCGATATTTTTTTCCAAAAGAAAGCACAAACAGGTTCACGCATAAAGTGTCAATACATTTAAAATTGTATCGACCACAAAAACATCGAAACCGATAATTATAATGTAATAGGTCAATTTACAATGTAACCGGTTTAAATTTACCGGTTTTATGAGAAAATAGGTCAGCATAAAGTATCGACACTTGTGTAATTTGTGTCGATACATTTTGTCCATAATGAATGCCCAATGAGGTGCAAAAATAACATGTCGATACATTTAAAATTGTATCGATCCCAAAAACATCGAAACGAAAATTACAATGTTATAGGTAAATTTACAATGTACCCGGTATAAATATACCGATTTTATGAGAAAATAAGTCTAAATAATGTATCGACACCTTTATAGTTTGTGTCGATACATTTAAATTTGCAATGCAATAGGTAAATTTGCAATGTAACCGGTTTAAATTTACCGGTTTTATGAGAAAATAGGTCAGAATAAAGTATCGACACTTGTGTAATTTGTGTCGATACATTTTGTCTATAATGAATGCCCAACGAGGTGCAAGAATAACGTGTCGATACATTTAAAATTGTATCGATCCCAAAAACATCGAAACGAAAATTACAATGTTATAGGTAAATTTACAATGTACACGATATAAATATACCGGTTTTATGAGAAAATATGTCTAAATAATGTATCGACACCTTTATAGTTTGTGTCGATACTTTTTTCCAGAATGAATTAGGAATGCCCAACGAGGTGCAAGCCTAAATTGTCGATACATTTAAAATTGTATCGATCCAAAAATCAACGAAAGCAATAATTATAATACAATAAGTAAATTTGCAATGCCTATTTTATTATATAAGCGCTACCTAATATGTTATTATGCTTGATAATATTTCCGGTTAAATGATATAACATAATCGATCACTTCTTTAACCGGTCACGCCGTTTTTTAACTGATTTTTAGGTGCCGCACAGCAAAATCACCCATTATTTGTCCTTGACAAATACTGAATCAGATACCTTGCAACCTTGGCAAAAGTGACTGAGCATGTGCCATTAATAATCATAATATGGTCAATTCATTTTATTCAAAACGTTTTGTTTTGGCGGGGATCTTAACATTCAATTAACAAAGAGAGCTTCACCCAATATGAGAATCACCAAAAAAAAGCAACAAAAAAAATTCAGCAAGCACAGTTTAGCACTTCCCTAACTCCAAAGCTCAAACAGTCCAGTAACTTCATTACATTGCACAATTAACAATTGCATTCCTGTTTGCCGCTAGTACACAAAAGGTATGAATTTGCACCTAACTTTACTCGCATACTCCAGGTAACTCTCTCCAAAAGTCTCTACCATTAGAACCTCCTCCAATTTTGCTTTCTGCTCATAATACAGCAAACAAACTGCCACAACGAATAACAAGCTAAGAGGTGCTCTAAGTGCAAGGCAATAAGTTGCAAATAAAAGCATTGTAGATGCGTATATCGGATGCCGAACCCATCTGTATGGCCCAAATTGGACAACAGCAGTTGGCACCACTATCTTCTCTGAATACTTCGCAAGATACAATGTCGAATTATATTGCATCAAAAGAGTTATCACAATCAGTATCCACACTCCAATGTTGCTCCAACCTCCTGGGACGCGATGCAGCTCTGGAGCTTCAAATGCGGCGACCCAGTGCCCAACCATGACTCCAACACAGAACAAAAGGCGATACCATTTGGGTGGGTTCACATCCCACTTAGGATCATGTGGACGGGCATAATAGTCTCCGTACAATCGTTTTCTTACACTAACATTGAAGAAAAAGAAATAGTGGTATACAAAGAAGAAGATAAAGGGCCAACCTTCAAGATAGCCATTGAAATAAGCAGGGGGTACTAGAGTTAGCCAAGTGAATACCGAAGTAACAATCGCAAGCTGCTCTACAATGCTTGCTTCACCAATTGAATGCTTTCGAAAAGCATACAAACCATATAAAGCAAGGGCTATAGCTACAAACCATGGCCAGAACAACCAACTCCAGCTGAAGTACATCCAAAAGAAAGGATTAAAAACCACATTACCAGTCCATTTGGTAGCTGCAACTCCAAGGGAAACAATAGCAGCCCATTTGACAAACTTTATAGGCGTTAACTCATAAAGAGCCGATTTGACTGAATCAAAAGAGAGGTTTTTGAAAGGTTCAAGCAAAGGGTTTCGAGAATCTGAGCTTGGAATGTTGGAAAATGAGCATTTGAGAGGAGACAAAAACTGGGTTCTTGTTGTTTTCCGAAGCGGTGACGGTGAAAGACTGAAACTCGATGCGTTTCGGGTAGGTTTGAGATTCTGTTGAGAATAACAGCCCTTGCTTTGAAATTGTTTGTTGAAATGCCTGCAAGAAACTATTCGGTTGCCTTTCAAATTGAAGCAAAAAGGGACTGTTCTCGACTGCAACAGCACTGAGGCAGTGTCCATGGATTGCTTGAACAAATAGATGTGCAAAAAGAACAGTTATGGAAATCTACGGTGAAACATTTGTTGTCTTCTTTAAAGATAAAATGAAAAAAATCTCTTCTGCAGCCATCGACAATTCGCAGATTAGTAGCTGGTAAAGACAGATCTTCAGCCCAAACACTTTAACAATGGTCCAACATGTTTCCTTCGGTATACCAATCCCAATCCCAATCCCAATCCCCATTGGCTGAATTTTCTATTAAATAGATTTAAGCTATTGATTAATGAAAAATTCTCTCTTAATAATCGGAACCCACGTACATTGAAATACATGAGATTTGAGAGGTTATAATTTTCTTTTACAATCTAATAAGCCATATCATTGAACACGTTTCATAAGTTTTCTAATTAGTACAACAATAATATATTAAAATTGATATATGATCCTTTTAAGTATATTTCAAAAAATTATACTTAAAAATAAACCCAATTATTATTATTTTTTGGATGAAAAACTCTTTTTAGAAAAACAATTATATATTGATGTAAATGTCGTATTTTTTTTTATAAATTTTGATATATAAATTACATTTTAGATAAAATATTTTTTCTAAACTTGGCCGATCATATTCCCGATCTTCTCATTCAAGGGTAATTCATTCTTTTTCTTATTATATTTTTCTCACTTTAATTTATTATTTTTTTACGATTAATAATCTGTTTCCTGAAAAATAGAAGTTGGTGTATTGTGGCGACAGAGGTGGCATTGCCGGAGGAAGGTCGCCGAGCTTGCCGCTTTTGAGCGGAAACGTAGATCGACTAATTGGGCAATCAGGGTATTGGAGAGGATATATAGATTCAATAGGAGCTGCAAAGGAATTTACTTCAAAGAAGAAGAGTAAGCTAAATATATCCTTTTTATTTATTTCAAATTTTATTGGTTATATAATTTGTTATCAAGTGTTAATGAATGCCACATTTATTACTTGTTATTAGAAAAACTGAATTATCTCGAGTAATTTGAGGTGAGTGAGTGAAATGGAATTAAGTCTGTTTTATTTTGTTCTAGACGAAATGTACTGTTCTTAAATTTTAGGAGCTAAACAGGCTCAGGTTTTACCATTTTCAGGATATTTTACATTGTTTTTTCATATTGATAGTTTGAGCAGTTAATGAAGAAATTGACTTTAGAAAATTTTGGATATTGGTGTTGGTTTGGACATATAATTTTACCTTTTGTTATTGTCTTTTATTATTTGCTGATTACGAAAACTTTTACCCAAAGAAAAAGAAGGAAATTCCAAAGCAAAATGACCAGAAACCTGACTCGAAAGGTGAGTCCATATCTCCCTCCCCCTTTATTTCAAACCAGTTTTCCAATGCTATCAATATCAATCCTCAGAGATGTCATGAAGATATCGGTTTGACATCATTTCTGATAGCAACAGTTAGCGTAGTATGTGATATTACCCTCTTGCAATCTTCTTGTGTGAGAAGCAGAAAGATAGGATTTTGAAATTATCTCGTAGAATGATTTTCTTATCCCTGTAGGCTTATACTATTACTATGTTAAGGTTGCTTACTAAAGTATAACACTGTGTCTACCTTTACTTTTACTATTTTAATGTATATAAGTATCATCAATGAATATACTCTTATAATGCCTGCAAGATATAGCTTGTATAGACTTTAACATTTTTCACTTCTTTTTTCTCAATTTCAGAGGATTCCAACACAGATGACCAATGGAACTTTCAGGAAAATTTCATGAGGCTTTTTCAAAATTTGGTTGTACCTTCGTTAGTTCTTGCATTGTTTCTTTCTATGTTTCCCTGGACTGTTGAGCAGCAACAAGTAACTCCTAAATGTTTTCACCTTGTTTATTTTCTGCGTATTTAAGCGGGTTAATTTTTTACTTTGATTTGACAATGATCTTTTTTCAATGCTTTAGGATTCTTATTTTGAGGTTAGAAAATAGATATTACCAGAATGTTGAGTCATTTGTATCATTTTATAAGCATATGGTAGAAAGCCTCTTTATATTCCTTTGTATTTACTGTGTAACTTTTTGGCTGCATTTAAGCATTTTCCTCCTTTTCCAAGTGATTCATATTTTAAAGCATGTCCATCTCTGATTGGGTGTTCTCCCCTGGTTTTAGCATTCCATGCCATCCACAGTTCAAAGTAACTAGTTAGTTCTGTGTGAAGTGACATTTTGTTTTTAAATCTGGATCTAGAATTTAGTATTAGATAGATAAAAGATTTAAATGGATCAAAATGCATATAGAGTCAGAACCGTTGCTAGTTTGAAAATTGTATTCTTACTTCCACATTTGTTTGGCTTCTAAATACAAGAAAAGTTCATTTATCTTGTTTACCAAAAAAAGTTAATCTATTTTCTAAGCTTTGATTGCTATGGAAATCTTTCTTGCAGATTAGTTTCCAAGAGTTCAAGAACAAACTTCTGGAACCGGGTTTAGTTGACCATATAGTTGTTTCTAATAAGTCGGTTGCAAAAGTGTATGCGAGGAACACACCATACAATCAAACAAGTGATGATGTTCTCCAAGGTCCTGCTAATGGTACTTCTGTCAGACGACATGGAGGTGAATACAAATGCTTCTTCACTATTGGAAGTGTTGAGTCTTTTGAGGAGAAGTTGGAAGAAGCCCAAGATGCTTTAGGGATTGACCCACATGATTATGTTCCAGTGACATATGCCTCTGATGTTATGTGGTACCAGGAGTTGATGAGGTTTGCACCCACATTATTACTTCTCGGAACTCTTATTATATGGGCCGGAGATTGCAAGGACTGGGTGTTGGTGGTGGTAAGGGTGGCCGTGGAATTTTCAACGTAGGAAAAGCCCATATAACCAAAGTTGATAAAAATTCCAAGAATAAGGTTAGTTTTTTTTTTTGGATAAATAAAAGAATATTATTACCCAAAAGGGAGCAGTAAACTGCTACAGTACAAGCATCAGAACAACTATAGTACAAGCATCAGAACAACTACAGTACAGTCATCAAAGCAACCAACGTGGAGCATGAACAACCAACATAGCAATAAGGTTAGTCAATACCCCATTGAATACAAAGAGAGTTATTGACTCTATCTATTCTATTGATTATCCTATCTCTTAGTTGAATTCTAACAAACTCCTTAATAGCCTTAAGAATTTCATCACCTGTTCTTGAGTTTCTTCGGAATAGCCTCTTGTTTCTTTCTTCCCAAATAGAATAAATAAATGCAGTCCATGCAAGCTTCAGAATATTAACTTGTCCAAGACATTAATTGATCCCAAGACAATGAAGATCTCCGCAAGCCGGTTAGTAGTAAGATTTCATTCCAGAGATAGCTTGCTAATGGGCATTCCATGAAAATGTGATCTCTCGTTTGCTGGAACGCGTTACATAAAACACATAAACCATCAGTAACAATACCCATATGTTGTAGTCTAACTTTAGTAGGGAGTCTGTCCAAAATAGCCATCCAAGCGATCATGCTATGTTTAGGAATGTGGAGGGGAAACCATATCAGATAATGCCAGTGAACTTTGTCTCTCTTAACCCTAGTCTCTTCCCAAATTGCACGAATTGATGTTGCTCCGGTTGAGAAGACAACGTTGGCTTCTCTCCTTAGTTTTAGTAATTTTCTGAAGCTCCAGCTGGTATTAGTACCGCTATCGATGTGCCAGAAGTCTTTATCGTTAAGGACGTAGTTGTTTAGCCATGCCACCCACAATGAGCCTTCACTTGCTAGGATACTTCGAATAAGTTGGATCATACACGCCTTATTCCACGTTTTTAAGTCCTTTAAACCTAGTCCTCCTTCAAGTTTCGAGTGGCATATAGTTCTCCAGCTTACTCTAGCTCCAGTAGCTGCTTTATCCGAACCTTTCCAGAAAAATCGAGAACAGAGTTGCTCAATCTTTTTAATGATAGATTGAGGCAGAAAAAGTTGTCTGCACCAGTAGTTAGCAACACTGAACAAGACCGCTCTTATAAGTTCGAGTCTTTCTGCATAAGACAAGAGTTTACCTGACCAGTGGTAAAGCCTGGACTTGATATTATCAATGAGAACGACAAAATCCTTTTCAGAGAGTTTCCTAGTGACCAAAGGGACTCCGAGGTATCTCACAGGCAGGCATCCTTGCTTGAACCCCGTAGTTTTGTTATTGGACTCCAGGATATTAGTAGATATTCCGGCTGCATAGAATTCGCATTTGGCCGCATTAAGCTTTAGGCCCGACATTTCATAGAATTTTTCTAAAACAATAGTGACTCCAACAACTGATTCCAAATTTCCTTTGCAAAAGATTAGAAGATCATCCGCAAACATTAAGTGAGTGAGCCTTATCTTCTTACATTTAGGGTGGAAGCCAACCATACCTCTCGCAGCAGCCAAATTAAGAATTTTAGACAATACATTCATTGCAAGGACGAATAAGAAAGGGGATAGTGGGTCACCTTGCCTTATTCCACTTTTACCCTTGAAATATCCAATCAAGCTTCCATTGAAACAGATGGAATATCTTGCATTTGAGAAACAAGCTTCAATCCGGTCAATGAAGGTTTTTGGTAGCTGTATAGCATTTAGGACTGATGAAATGAAGCCCCAGTGAAGAGTGTCAAAGGCCTTTTGAAGGTCAATCTTCAAATAACATCGTGGGGAAATTGATTTCCTTCCATAGCCTTTCACCATTTCTTGAGCAAGGAGAGTATTGTCGACGATACTTCTACCTTTTACAAAGGCAGTTTGATTTGGAGTAATCATCCCTGGGAGTAAATTGGTCAGTCGTTTTACTAAAATATTAGTAATTGTCTTATAGACAACAGAGCAACATGAAATTGGCCGGAAGTCTTTAACCTTGCTTGGATTTGGCACTTTAGGCACCAATGCGATTGTGGTCGCATTGAAAGCTGGAAGCAAGTATGTTTGTTGAAAGAAGTATTTTATTGCATTTACCACATCGTCTCCAACCACATCCCATGATTTTTTGAAAAAGAAAGGTGTGAATCCATCAGGGTCAGGAGCTTTGTCATTGCCTTGATTGAAAATGGCTTCTTTTATCTCCTCTCTTGATACTTCCTTGATTAGATCAGATGAAGCTTCAGGAGGCAACGTAAATTAGCAGGCTTTTAAGAAGAGTGGGGTTGCACTCGGTTACGTTGGG